ATACATACACCACACACACACACACACACACACACACACACACACACGAGCAGTCCCTCCTGCTCTGGATACTGAGGATGAAGCCAGCTTGGACAACACAGCAAATCCCCTTTTAAAAAAAATGGGGGTGGATGTGGCTAGAGAGGTAGCTCAGCTGTTCGGAGCACTTGTTGCTCTTAAAGAGGCCCCGTGTTCAGGTCCCAGCACCCACACAGTGGCTCACAACCATGTATAACTCTAATTCTGGTGAATCCAACACCCTCTTTTGGCCTCCTTTGGCACCAGGAACATATATGGTACAGAGACATAAATGCAGCCTAAACACTCATACATATAAAATAAAATAAAAAACCTAAAGAAAGAGGGGAAAATTTATGTGCATTAACTTAAAGTTAAGGTTGTAATAGATGATTCTGTGCTCTTTCACTGAGGAATGATCTTAAAAGCAAATGAATAATTTGATTTATTCGTTTAACTTGATTTGTTTTAGGTTAACCTAAACAATTTGGAGGTTTTTTGTTTTGTTTTTTTTTTTAAGCAGGTCTTGCTCTGTAGGCCAAGGTGGCCCAGAGTTATCCATCCCCTGTAGTCTCCCATGTGCCGTGACACCCAGTCTCACATAAGGCCAATGATTACCAGAGACAGGGTCTCACTGTGTAGCCCTGGCTCCCCTGGAACTTCCTCTGTGTAGAGCAGGCTGGCCTTAAACTCACAGAAGAAGAAATAAAGAAAAGGAATGAAGATGAGGTGGTAGCTGATGGCCCCTAGGAACTAATCTAGTGGCTTTCAATAGCCACTTTAGAAGGCCCTGGAAAGTGACAGAAACACACGCCTTACCACAGTGAGGTACACAGGGACGAGAAAGAAAGGGGCAACAGCATTTAAAGGAACAATGGCTGGAGTTTATGTCTTTTTCTTCTTTTATGTGTGTATACATGGTTTTATTTTATGTGTGTAAAGATTATATATACGTGTGTGGAAATGCATGCATCTGTGTGCATGTGGACTCTGAGGTCCAAGGTTGACCTCAGAAATTATTCTTGATGGCCCATCGACCTTATTCCTTGAGGCAGTCTCTCAACCAAACCCAGAGCTCACTGATACAGCCAAGCTCCATAGCTAGCTTGTTCTGGGGATCCTGTCTCTGGCTACCACATCTACTGGAACTGGGGATTCAAGTTCCAGTTCTCAGGCTTACTCACCAAGTACATAACCACTGAGCCCTTCCTAGTTCCTGTGGCTAAGTTTCCAAGAGGATGAAAAACAAACAAACCAATGTATCCCAAGATCAAAAACACATGGACTTTTATCAAGACAAACCAAACTGAGCCCCAGCTGCACAGAGCAACATAGGATGGGAAGACAACGGACAGTGGCCGGTGGGTGTGCAACGGACCCTCCTCTGAGAAGGGCCAGCCTGTGGCTACTGTTTAGGAGATGTGAGAAACTTCTCTAAAAAAAGGTTGCAGGAGCCAGGTTTGGCTTATTTATCTGTGATTCCGGCATGAGAGAGGCTGAGGCAGAAGGATTTTGGCCCGGGCTACACAGTGAGACCCTGTCTCAAAAACAAAACCAAACACCGAAGTTCTGGCTCCAGCTCAGCCATGGTTTTGAACAGCAGCTGAACCAAGATCCCTTTCAGACATGGAGACTGAGGAAGGCTCTGCCCTCAAGGTTTTGCTAAAGGAACAGCTAAAAGAAAAGCCTCAGAGGATGAAATGCAAGTCAGGTTTCCTCCAGAGGAGGCAGCTGCTTTAGTGGAGTCTGCAGAGGCCAAGCGAAAAAGGCTGCCCTAGGGCCCAGAAGATGCACAGCAGCAGGACACGGGGTTTGCAACAGTTCATTCAAGTGGTCCATATGGTGAGAGTCTGTGCTAACGCCATTTCTTCAGAATTAGTGTATTTTTGCAGTAGGCTTCCAAATGCATATGCCATTGTAATCACTAAACACGTAGATCTGACAGCGTGTGCAGGCGTGCGTTAGGGAACAGAACCACACCGATATAACCACAGGGAAAAGCTAGCTGAGGCCCCATTACCTTCGTTAAACTTTTTGACTGGGGCTGGTCTTGAATTCCTGACCTTCCTGCCTGGGCCTTCTGAGTGCTGGGATCATAGGCACCATTGCCACCAGCATGGAAAGCTCTCCCCAGATCACTCATGATGAATCACATTCTCATCAGCAGGGCTGGGGATGCAGCTCAGAGGAAGACTGCTTGACTGGCATGCACAAGGCCTGGGTTTGATACCTAGTAGATAAATCAGAAGTATAATAAAAATATAGCAAAATACAATGGGGAAAACCCCACAAAAATTGAGGATACACACAGTAAAACAATGAGATGCTTTACCTATCCTGATTTCCTAGCGAATATTTACTTTTTATGGGGCTTGGTCAAAGGGGGATTCTAATTCTCTGCTGTGCTGTCTCTTACAGAGGAGAGCAGAGAGTAGGCTGGGGCAGACAGACACTAAGCTGCTGGCAGACGCCACCAACAGGCCACCGGAAGAAGGAAGAAATAAATGAGGCCATTGTTCTATCTCTTCTAGGAATCAGCTTGCTAAGGAGGCTGTGTGCACATCGTGTGCCTGTAAGTCTCGGGATGAGGATGTGAGCTGGGCATAAGCGGACACGGTGTGCACATGGACTGGAAGGATAAACATGTAACATATAACAGGGAGACAAAGAGGGGCTGGCCTCTTCGGGAAGATGTGAATTAGCTCCAGTTACTCATTTATGTTTTCCTGTAATTTTTGTTTTGTGTTTTTTTAAAATTTAGATTTATGTATTTATTTTATTTATGTGTATGAGTGGTTTGCCCACGTGTATGCACACACATGCCTAGTGCCAAGAGCATCAGAAGAGGGTTTTAGACTAAAGTTATAGATGGTTGTGAGCATCAAGTGGGGGCTAGAAGCAAACCCAGGTTCTCTGCAAGAGCAACAAGTGCTCTAAACACTGAGTCATCGCTCCAATCCCTTGATTCAGTTTTTTATGTAAGGGTCTCACTCTGTAGCACAGTCTGGTCTTACTCACCATGTTCCTGAATTAGTCTGCTTTGTGCTGGATTAAAACACTAGCTATCAGGTCTAGGAACGTATCTTAGTGCAGTGATTGCCCAGCATGTGTGAAGCCCTGGATTTGATCCTCAGCTCATAGAAAATTGAGTGTGCTAGTGAAAGCTGGTAACCCAAGTCAGGACCTGGGAGGTGGAGGCAGAAGGCTGAGAGGTTCAAGTCATTCTTGACTACATAGAGAGTTCTGTTGAGGCCAACCTGAGCTATATGAGACTTTGTCTCAAAACAACAACAACAACAACAACAGCAACAACACCACCCCCAAAACAAACAACAACAAAAAAACCCAAGGGGCTTTAGAGATGGCTCAGTAGTTAAGAGCACTTGCTGCTTTTCCAGAGGACCCAAGTTTAATTCCAAGCAGTTCACAACTATCTGTAATATGGCAGTTCACAACTATCTGTAATTCCAGGTCTAGGGGATCTGGCATTCTCACGCAGACATACATGTAGGCAAAACAACAATGCACATGAAAACTATATCTTCAAACAAACAAACAAGCAAGCAAACAAAGGTGGACGCCATGGACGGTGAAAGGCAGCATTTCGAGAGGACGGAAGCACTGCTGGGCAGACACAGGGAGGAGTAGGAAGGGGAAGGAGCCCTGTGGGTATCTGCTTTGCCTGGCCTGTAGTGACAGGCCCATGTTTATATACATTTATATATCTGTATTCCCAGGACTGTAGTGACAGGCCCATGTTTATATACATTTATATATCTGTATTCCCAGGGCTGTGCTCCTTGGCTGGTCTTGGCCTGGACCCTGCAGTGGGCCCTGGGATCTGCACTTCAAGCTCTGCTAGCTACTAAGTCATCTCTCTAGTCGTGCTTGGTTTTAATATAGGGTCTCACACCACAGCCCAGGCTGCCTGGAATTTGTGATCCTTTTGCTTCAGTCTTTTGAGTGCTGGGATTTCAGGCACGAGCTACTCTACCTGGCTGCTTTAAAACAAACAAAATGAAAACAAACAAATGAAAAATCCCGGGACTCAAGTATCGCTTGGTTTTTGTAGGACTGTAGATAACGCTGCACGACCTAGGGACACCCACAGAGGGCTGGCCTGGGACCGCCTTGGTGCTTGCCTCACAGGACCCTTGCTTGCTCCACGGCTGTTCCTTCCAGATGTGGCCAGAGCAGTGGGTCAAGGGACACCCAGTGCTGAGCTGAGGCCCTGCCCTGTGCCTGAGGCGTCTGGTTGGCTCCGGTCCACCACCAGTGGCCTCTGTGAATCCCATCCAGCCTGCAGTCCTCCCTCTGGCCCCAGGCTTGTGGCAAGCAAGCCAGGAAGCTTTTTCTTTTGGCCTCCTGGGGCAGAATCATGGCACCAGCTTCCCTCTCCATTGGCATGACCCCAGTTGTGGCCTGGCCCACCAGCCTTGCCCAGGTACTTACCTTTAGGGAGCCCCCGCTCTGCTCGGAGTCTGTTTCCCATTTCCAGGAGCTGCTCCTTCTCTAGGCTGAGGCTGAGGATCTTCTTGGCTGCGTCCTTCAGCTTCCTTTGCAGATGTCGCACTGATACGGTCTGTGGAGGCTGAGCCCCTTCCTGGGGGAGACTAGGGAACTCCAGCTGGCCCTTTGTGACCAGGGATCTCCAGTTAGTCAGGCCCTGTACACAAAACCCAACCAAGAGTCAGCCCTGAGGGACACTCCAGAGAGCTTACTGGACATCACGCAGGCTGGGAGATGGTGAGGTAGCCCACGGCATGGCCCACCGAGCTGCCCACCATTCCTCTCAGAATCACCATGGCTGGGGCTCACTGGTGACATCCTTCCAAAGAAAAGACAGTAGAGTGACTTCTCCCACGCTTTAACTGAGTTGGGAGTTGGGAACAGCACCCAGGTTTCAGTGAGCTACTTCTCTCCCAGAACAGGGGAGGGTTGCATAGTTCTCAGCCTCCCCACCCACTGCAAGCCCACGGCATTCTTCCTTCCCATCAGCTCCTGCTGAGCTCTGTGTCTCTCAAGTGGAGACAATGAGAACTTACACTCAACCAGCACAGGGCCCTGCTCTGGAGGAAAGAAGGCCCGGCAGCCTCCAGCAACTCCATGACCTGGGAAGCCTGAACCCTGTATGGACACAGGGACCTGCGGCCAAGCCACTTCTCACTGCTATGGGCCTACTCTGCTTCTGACCTCTGACCTGTGCTGACTGGACCTTCCCAATGTCCTCCTCCCCTGTTGCCCAAGGGCTGGCATGCCCTTCCGTCTCCTCTCCTTTCACCTCTCCTCTGGCTCACCCCTTCTCCACCTGCCTGTTAGAATCCCCTTACCACCCTGTGGGCCAGCTGTGGTCTCCCTTCCTATAGAAGGTGCAGGAAGAAGCAAAGGCTGCTGGAGAGAAGGTCAAACAGACATGAGCCCTCTGGAACCATGTGTCCTTCACTCAGCCCAGCCTGGACTGGGGGTCAACAGACACAGAATACAGTCATGACTTTAAGGGGATATAGGCATTGGAGAACCAGGTTCTGACATGGCCACCTAGTCTTGACAGTTATAAGACGTCATGACGGTCTGCTGTTCTGGGTGCTAGATCTCCATGTCCTGGAACATCCTGCATGCTCTGGTTTCCCGGTCTTTGCCAGGGCTGGCATGTGTTTGTGCCCTCTGGGTGCTACTGTTCTTCAGGTAGCCTGGAGTGAGTGGGTGACTGCACCTGTAGGTGACTGCGTTCAGGTGCTTCTGGCCGATGCTGCAGGCCACAGGGGACTGAGGAGCTTGCAGAAGGACACAGCACAGGGGTCAGAGAAGGTTCTGTGGACCTTCAGGACCAAGATAGGCAAGCAGTACATGGTGCGCCCAGAGAGTGCTGTTCTAGGCCCAGGCATCCCACACCTCAAGTGGCCTTCAGAATACAGAGAATTTCAGGTCTTAGGAGAGGTGGGCTGACCTGGATAGGGGGAGGCTGGGGCTCTACCTTGTAGGGCTAGTCTAGTAGGAGATTCCTGTCAGTTCGAAGGCTGAGCACTCTATTTAATACAAAACTTGTCAGAAACTGTCTTCATTCAAGTGACAGACCTGGTAAGGCGTAGCACCTGATGTACCCTGAGTCGAGAGCCTGTATGTGTGACCATACAAGAGGCTCAATGAGGTCTTGTTCCTGGGAGCACACTTGCCTGGAGGATATGGAATGATTTCTCTGGGCTCAGCTGGTAATAATTTTTATTTGGGCCAGGTATGGTGGCACATGTCTTTAATCCCAGAACTCAGGAGGCAGAGGCAAGTGGATCACTGTGAGTTCAAGACCAGCCAAGTCTACAGAGAAAATTCTAGGACACCCAGGGTTACACAGAGAAACCCTGTCTCGAAAAACCAATCCACAAAATAAGTATTTTACAACATAAGACACATTCAGAAATGTCTTCTGATCTACAGCACTCGAGTAAACACTGTGGCAACCCACTCCTTGGCACCTGTCCCAGGGCTGCAGACCCCACCCTGCCACCTATGACACCATCTTGGTATGGTGAAAATCTGGACAGTACGGAAATCTGAAGAAATGTCTTGATGAGATTCGCCAAGGCCTAGACTGAAGCCCTTCAGGAGGCTGTGGTCAATGCCAGTGGACTCCATGGGTCACAGGGGCTCCTTCCCAGGCCAGGGCTAAAGCTTCCAGCAGCTAACACTGCCCCAGAGACGATCCCTTCCACTCCCTCCAGCACAGGAGAGGAAGACATGGGGCTAGAAATGAGTTGATGGAGGTGGCAGACCTGGGAGCAAGCGATAACCTGGGCCCCAGCCATGACTAAACAGCGGGCCCGGCCGAGGTCAGGCATGGAGGATGGCAGTGCACCCCACCCACTGCCCATGGCGTTCTGCACAGGTACCCGTGTGCACAGTGTCACAGAACAGAGTGGCCAGCTTCGCTGGCTCTTTGGTTGGGCAAGGGAGAGACGACTACCTTTTCTCGTTTGTTTTTTGAGACAGGGTTTCACTTTGTAGCCCTAGCTGTCCTGGAACTCTCTCTGTAGACCAGGGTGGCCTTGAACTCACAGAGATCTGCCTGCCTCTGCCTTCCAAGTTCTGGAGTTAAAGATGTGTGCCACCACTGCTAGCTTAAGACTAGCCTTTGATAGAAGCTGAAAGGACAGTTGTCTCAGACTCCTGCCTTGGGAACTGCCACTGCCCTGCTCACTACCCACCCAGCTCCCTGCACATAAGCTCTTCCTGAAGACTGGAGGGTGGGGGGAGACTGGAGTGTGCTACACACTACAGTTCTGCACATCCCAGTGTGCTCTCCTGCCTACACACTGAGGTTTTGCATGTCCCAGTGTGCTTTCCTGCCGTGTACTACACACTGCGGTTCTGCACGTCCCACGAAAGATCGAGGCACACTGATGATCCTGGTGACCGTCCTCCCCTGGTCTTCTGAGGATGTCCCTCCAAGGTGGACTCCTGTCCAGAGCCTGGGACCCCCAGAGTATGGATGTGCAAGGATTTTCCCATAGCTGGAAGGTTCCCCGGTCTTCATTTGTATTTCATGGTACTGACATCTAAGTGTCCAGAGGAGTTAAACCCCAAAAGTACGTCTTGGGGATGTTCCACCTGGGCGCAGACCCTAGTGTCCAGCTGCTGATGTTGGTCAAGATGGGTGTCCTTAGGTTTCTCCAGTGAGTTTTTCACCTTGTGATCAAGGTCAGCTGGGCGTGGAAGAGACACTGTGGCTGGCACTCCACGGCCTTGTCTGCTGTGTCTACACACTGATGTTCTGACAGAGGAGTCACTTCACGTTTTCTTTATAAAGATTGTCTTGTTGTGCCTGTCTGTCTGGGGTGCTGTGCATGCACGGCATGGTGTACACACTGCAGAGGACAACTGTGGAACCTGGTTCTCTCCTACCATGTGGTTCCAGAGACTGAGCTTGGGTCCTCAGGCTTGGCAGCAAGTGCCTCTGCCTGATGAGATTCCTTTCTGGCGTCCATTTCTTCATGTACCTGCCCACTTGGCCAAGATCACGTCAGGATTTCCTATGAACTGGTGGACTGTAGTCTCTCTTGGCTGAGATGGTCAGTTGGAACCCTTCACAGCTAAC